AGAGCTAATGTGATTAAAAGAGACATTTGAACTCTCCATAATGCAAGACAGACATGTTCATCTGAAGAATCCTGGAGTTTTGTTTTAGGCTTACCTAAAGCAGACAAAACAGGTGTGACACCTTGAGTGAATAATCTGGCTGTCTAGGAGGGTAGAGAGCCTTTAATTTTTTGCTTCATTTCTGGGTTATAAGGTCTTTCCACTCATTATATAGGATTTGAATTTTAGAACTGGACCTGACCTTTGACTCTGTCTCCTCATTTTATGGATGAGAACACAAAGCCTCAGAGTCGTTTACTGGCTTACCCAAGGTCACACAGCTTGCCAGGGGTATGACCATACTCAACGCAAGACTTCCTACTGGCAAAGTGGCAAGGCAACAACCTTCTCTTTTTAAGTAGAAGAAATCTTCTTTGCCCTGGCTACTAATAATTAAATGAAAACAATGCTGTGGAAACAGGAACAGGGTACGATTTATACTGTGGATAAGGAGTAAATTATAAAGTAAATAAAGTATATTATTTTAATGGAAATGTGACCCGCTACTTTTCTCCACCAAGAGCCCTCAGGTATATGTAAGAAATAGATGTATTCTCATCCTACTCTTTCTCTTTTTGGTGGCTTTTTAAAGTAAGGTGGGACCTGGTGTCTGGTCCTGTGGGTTTCAGACCGTATTCCAGGAGGCCCCCATGTTCTTACAGAGAAGGCCCGTCAGAGAGGAGGGAGGGACTTCGAGGCCTGGGCCCTGTGCCAGCTCTGGCCGCCCTGCGTCCCAGCACCTGAGAAAAGCTCCACTTTTAGCTGCCTTGCACACTGAAGTTCAGAGTAGAGTTTTGTTCCCGGGAAAAACAAACACTTTTAAAAAGAATTTTGAAAATTACACACTTAACCCAATTCACTCATTGAATTTCATCTCTCTTCTTGCTAATGTCAGCACCCACCCCTTCCTAGTAACCGGGTCCCATTCACCCAGACCCACTCTTAACAAAGCCCTGGCTCTCAGTCTCACATCCAGCCAGTCCTAACGTCCAGTGTTTTTGCCAAGGACTTTTTCCTCCAGTTCAGCTAAACCAAGTGATCTGATTGTTCTTTTATTGTGGGAATGCCAGCAGGCTGTTGCCTGGTGTCGCCTGGTGTCTCTGCCTATTGTGATTATGGTCATTTAAAAGTCCTCACTGTAGTCAGGCTTCAGTTTTTAACTATTTTTGTCAAGTCGTGGCCATACAGTGTTCCTATAAAACAACTCCAGCTGGCTTTTCTTAGAAGGCAGACCAGATTTTTAAAGAGACGTTCTCCATAATTCTTTCTAAAAATCAGATAATACTAGGAACCAGTGAATTGTCTGAAATTGGGTTTTGTGGGAGAGGGGCAGGGCCTGGTTACCCCAAGGCAGCATCAGATGGTGCTTCGGCCACCAGTAAAGCAGGGCACCTCAGAGAGGGGAGGGAGGAAGGAGAGGGAGAAAGGGAACGGGGAAGAAGGAAGGGAAACATTTTGCTCAGGCCAGTGTGGCTCCGTGGGTTAGACTACATCCAAAAAAGCAAAAGGTTGCTGGTTTGATTCTCAGTCAGGGCAAATACCTAAACTGCAGGTTAGAGGTAAAGGGTGTTTGGGTGGCATATGAGAGGCAACCAATCAAGGTCTCTCTCTCTTTCTTTCTCCCTCCCTTCACCTCTCTCTAAAAAATAATAAATAATCTAACATTTTATATATCAGATACAAACACCTAAGTAGTCATTATGGTTGGGGGGGGGTAGGGATCAGACCTTTATGACTTTAGAACATAATATTCCCTTTATTTCAAATTACTTTTTGAAATTAAATTAATTGGAGTAACACTGGTTAAAAAACATGTTAAGTTTCAGGTGTACAGTTTTCTAATGCATCATTTTTATGTTGCGTTGTGTGTTCACCACCCAAAGTCTAGTCTCCTTCTGTCACCCACTTTACCCTTTTCATCCTCCTCCCAGCCCCCGTCCCCTCTGGTAACCGCCATACTGTTGTCTAGAGATGCCGCTTCCATCCTTTCATCCTCGGGCCTCTGAGGTCTTTATCTGTCCTGACCTGGTCCATCTCAGACGTAGGAGAAAACTTCTCGGAACAGTTCAGGCCTGAGTTTGCCTGCTCCTCTTTGGGAAATGAATTTGCCCCAGGTGAAAGGTATTCACAACATCTTTGGAGAAAGAAGTCCCTTGTCAACTCACCAAACAGGCTCAGTAGCCCAAACTTCAACCTGGTCAACCTCCCTTCTTTATATGCGTATCAGGGTTTGCCCTTGAATGCCACCTTCTTTTGGCTGGGCTGGGCCTATAGAGAGAACATTGATGCTGTTCTTTTTGGAACACAGTAAAGGCCTCCAAAGGACTGAATGGTATAGCTCCTCAGGAGAAAGCCCAGGCCGTTTCTCTCTGGGGCATGATTGTATTTTAGGAATGCAGGGTCCCCAAACCTGGAAATGAAAGATCGATTATCAAGAGGCATAGAGGGACTGTGTTTCCTTTACAATTTTTACTGATATATTTCAAGAATTCAGTTTTCTCCAAGAAACTTAGAGATGGAAATTCTAGTATTTATCTTGATGGATCTGTGTCTGTGCAAACGTTGTGTGGTATTTTGTGAGAGGGTGTGAAAGTGTGTGCAAGACTACAGTGTTAATCTCTAATATGTATGTGTGCCCTGTGTATGTTTAGTATCGATGTGAGTGTCTCTGAGTGTGATTTTATAAATGTTTGGATATTGAAAAGGCTAACTACACACAAGCAAAGCAGATGTTTTAATGAGCTCTCAAATATTTTAATGAGTGCCCTGATTTTCTTCGAGTAAAGGAAGGACAGAAAAAAAGAAATGGGTTAGTTACTTGCTCCTTTTCATTTGAGTCTAACTCTGTGCCAGTGAAAAGGCAGAGAGTCAGCCATGGGTCATATACCGTTGGAATTTTTGCTTCAGTGGGGAAGTGATGACTCCTGGTGTGGATCAGAAATGAAACCTTGCTAGGAGGACATTTCCTCTCTTTCCCCCTGATCATGGGTGTCTACTCTCATTCCTGAAACCTTAAACTTGCTGTGGTGGGGCAATGGAGGGGGTGCAGTTCTTCTTTCTGTAGAAAAGCTCAGTAGAAAATTTCTTCTCCTCGCCAGCTTGGTCACACAGCTGGTGATCTAAGTCCCCACACCTCTGCCTTCTCAGAGGTGCATTCTTGGTCCTAGTTCACAGGCCTGAGCCAGGACCGAAGGGCCACAGTTTGACTTGGTAAAAGCTGTTAGGTGCCCAGCTCCAGCGAGGAGTGTGGGCACCTGGAAACCAGCGAGGACTGGCTGCAGAGGAAGTGGCGCATCAGCCTCACTGCTGGCTCATCCTCATCAGTGCAGGAGGCCTGGGCCCATTGTCCTCCTGGGCTCGGGAGGGGACAGGGTCATTAGAAGCTGATGTCTCTGCTAGCCAGAGGAAATGGCCTGCTTTTGTTTTCCACCCAGTAGGAAATGGAACCCGAATCCATTCGATCCTGGGTGGTTCAGCAGGGCACAGTTTGAGCTCGCAGAGGCGCGATGCCTAAAAGGCTACTTGTGTGGATTTGTGTGCCCCAACCAGCACTGTGCAGTGTGCCCATCTTTTATGCATTTAAAGCCTGTCAGCCTCGTAATCGAAAGCAGAGTTCTGGAAGACAGTAATGCCAACAGGCAGGGGGAATAGTAAAGTGCACCTGTAGAGTTAAAAAATGCATGACCCTTTCCCTCAAAGAGTGAACACGGGAGAGAGACCCATGCTGTAAGGTGGCTGCTGAGCCCTAATACATAATTCACGGGCCCATGCTGCTCCATGCAGATGGCGATATTAAATCGTGATTGATGGTAAGAGGGGCGCAACTCTCCAAGAGGCTTCTGAATATTTCCAGGTCTCTTGTGTCTTCTTGTCCTCTGATCTACCATGGTATTAAGCAAAACCCCCCATTTCCCAGGAACCCCTCCTGGGGATTGAAGAACTGCACTCCCAAATATATGAGATTCTTCAAATGTCATCACCCACCTTTTCTGCCTTTGAAGATCCCCCCCTCCCCTCCTGGCACACGGGAAGCTGTTTCCCCAGCCAGGCACTCAGGCACTATTGGGAGGGGGGGCGCTGCTCCCCTGCAGCCAGCTGCCTTTCCAAAGGCTGGTTCCCGCTGGACAAAGCAGCAGCACACTCTGGTGGTGGTGACCAGGCAGGAGGGACAGCGGGCAGCAAGCACGGAAAAAACACAGCCGTCCACTCAGCACAAAGCACTCTTTGTCGAAAGTCTGAGGTCAGAGTCGGTGGATTCTCCAATGCAGATTTTCCACTCGGTGTATAATGAAATAATAAATCAAATTTGTGGTGTATGTGGAATTAAGTGTTTGGGGGTTTTGCTTTTTCTTTCTTTCTTTAAAAAAAAAAAAAAGGCTGAAATCACCCTCCAGGGCCTGTTCTGGCCCAAAGCTGAAAATGCTTCCTCCGCATCACATGTAATTGTTACCAGCCTTGCTTGTGGGTCGGCACCACAAAACCACTCTTGTCAGTTCCCGGAGCCGTTACTTCTGGCTGCCAGGGCTGGGCTGGTCTGGCCTGGGAGACACCGAAGACCATAAAGGATTTATGAGGTAAAGATAGAGATGAGAGGTTTGAATAAGGCGCAGAAGACGGGCCAAGGCGGGGAGACAGGAAAAGGCAAGGAGGGATGTTAACTTTGCAGCTTTCTTGTATTTTTTAATCCCAGAGCATGTGATTGGGAATATTTATGACCATTTTCTGGGATATTGTCACTTGGGGCGTGCGCGCGCGTGCGTGCGTGTGTGTGTGTGTGTGTGTGTGTGTGTATTCGGTCCCAGAGTGGGGGGTCGGGGATGGTGAGCTGATAATCTCTTCCCCTGAATGAGTAAGCAGGTTAGTTTTCTGGATGGCCACTGGAAGAAAAGAGAAACAGGGAAAGGGGGGGAAAATGCAGGAACATATTTGAAGTTCTTTGGGTTGTTTGCCTTCTCTTTCAGACCCACCCTGTGGAGGCCGTTTGAATTCCAAAGATGCTGGCTACATCACCTCCCCGGGCTACCCCCAGGACTACCCGTCCCACCAGAACTGCGAGTGGATTGTTTATGCCCCCGAACCCAACCAGAAGATTGTCCTCAACTTCAACCCTCACTTTGAAATCGAGAAGCATGATTGCAAGTAAGCATGTCCTGTCCATGGCACAAGGCACATCCGTGAGACACTCCCACCCGCCCCCTGGGTCCGCTCCCTCCCCCTAAGATCGGCCCCCCAAGCGCGCTGCGGGGGAGGCCCCCCCTCTGCCCTTGCTGCCACCTGATGGCCACACCCCTAATACCGGGTCATGCTTAACAGTGCTGAATTTCACCCAAGATGGCATTCCTCTTCAGGGGAAATAAAGGCCTAGTTTGTCCCCTAGTATGGAGGGAAGAGCCTTTTTGAGTGTACTGTGTAAAGAATAGCATCCTATCTTCAAAAGCTGGCAGTGAGGAGAATTCCCTGTGGGGGCGGGGTGGGGGATGGACTACAAAAGCGAGAGCTCTTGACTGTGGGATTTGCCTCCCTCGCCCCTGCCCCTGGAGTTCTCCCCGTTTCTACTGCTGCTACCACATGTAGGAACCCCACTGGCTTCCTTAATAAAATAGTGGCCAAATCCCCAAGTGGAGACTTCCTCTGCATCCAGCCATGGAGGATCAGGCTGTTATCTTTTGAAGCGGCAGCTGCTTTCCTGACAGTTAAAAATCTGAGTCTCCACTGGTAGATCTAAGATTTGCATTGATTCTTGGTATCTGAGCTGCACAGGTTAGTCTCAAAGCTGGATTTATCTAACAAACACTCTTCTAATTGCTTTATAAGTGTCAATCCATTCAATTCTCACAACAGCCCTGGGAAATTGGGGTCGCGACGACCTCCATTTTGCCAGTGAGAAAAACCAAAGCACGGAGAACTTGAGTCAGTCACCCGAGGTGACTCAGCTGGTCTCACAACATCAGTTCTGTCACTGTGGAAATGCGTGGCTTAGGAGACACCACGTGGACATTCAGACAGCTGCGAGCACTTCAGAAATGCCATGTTAACACTTAGGGCCCTATAAGTTAAGGTGAGGGAGCAGGCAGCATGGTCCTGTCAAAAATGTGCTTTGTACCATCTAGAGGGCTCTGTCTTACAATATTTTTGTCACTGAAACCAAGGGGAAGTTTTCTGTGCAGGAAAGAAGGTGCAGGCGATCCTGTCCTGCTCCCGATGAACTCCTACAATGTGCCAGTGCTCCGATGGGCGTTCCGTGCCCCCTTATAATTAATAAATAGGCTGAGCCCTTCTTGTGGCCAAGGCATTGCAAGTACTAAAAAATTAATGAAGGGGCCCGCTGGTGGGGAAGGTAGAGGACAAAGACCTAGGTCCAGCCAGCGCTTCCCTGTACAGGAGACAGGGCCCTCTGTAAGCAGCTCTGGACTGTGAAGCTGTGAATCAAAGTCATTGTAATCCTCCTTTTTTCACCTACGATACATAACGGTTTTCCCCCAACAAGAGGTAGTCTTTGTTGGAAACCCAAGCGTTTCCTGGATAGATCCTCATGTGACAGAGAGTCACAAGACGGAGTGTCTAATTGCAGATCATCTCTTGACACAGGGTAGCTCATCAGTTCCTCTTTGTCTAAGTTAAGCGCATACCCTTGCTTACATTTGCACAGAATCTCAAGGCTGCCCAGTTCCTGCCAGTGATCTTTACCGAGAATTTCTGTTAGAAGAGCTGCTTTATAAGGTGTTTTTGCTCTTGGGGCCTCTGGCATGGCTGCAGAAGGTTGGCACAAACTGAAGCGTAATGCACAGAGAGCTTGGGTCTGAGCTCAGGGAAGTTTGACTAAGCACCTCTCTCGACTGAGGGCCAAATTCTGCTATGCTTATGCCAGCAAATCTCCCAGGGAAATTGCGAAGAGGTCATCTTATGTATATTCATAGTGGCTGAGGGAGAAGGCATGGCTTTGGAAAGAAAAACTGAGGAGCTAGTGAGCATGGCTTTACACGTGTTTTGAAGTGTGAGAGGCCAGGAAAACAGGCTTGTGTCCTGTATGTGCCTGCAGGGTGCCCTTCCCCCTTCCTGGACTCAGTTCCAGGGACGGGGAGGACTCGGATGGTTGAAGACCCTTGTAGAGGAGGGACAAAGTAGCTTCTTGCCTGGGTTAGAGTAGAGGAAGCAGGCCAGTGACAGGTTATCTTCTGGCTTATCATCTTCACTAAGTAGCTTCCTGTTTTCCTTCGCACTCCCCCATTCAATGCTTCTGGCTTGAACCAGAAAGGTCAGAAGGTCAGAAAAAAAATCTTTCTGGGGTCTCTCTCTTCCAGTGCCAAATTGTCAGAAAGGGTCTTTTGGGGTCAAGCCTCTGCTACTTAACCTCATCCTTCATTTTCCTCCCTCCCCCATTTCCCCTCCACTCCCCGTTTCTCTCTCATTCTGATTAATTTTTGTATTTAGAAAGACACATCCGGTTCTCCCAACCTCTCACTCTGCAAGGTATTTTTAACATTCTTCCCTGGCCATTTGCATTCAGAATAAATAGGCTTCTCCCCACGACTGCCTTGTTCACTTCCTTGTGAAAGGAACAATTAATCTAATTGAAGTCCTGGAAGTTCTGTCTTGTTCCTCCTCTCTTTCCCTCTCTCATTTCTGTTCTAAGGGAGCTCCTGGGTTGGGAAAGCACTTACTATCAAAGGAAATTAGCCTCCTTTCTCCTTTCATTTCGGGTGCATGTTTCGAATTGGATTTGGCTCCCGAAGCCCATCGAGTGGATGCTTACCAAGAGAAAACTGCCTGAACCGCCCTTCTGATGAGAGAACACAGCAGTAACACCCCTGCAAAAAGAGAAATGAGAAAGTCAGACAATCAGCCTTGTCTTTTCCCCTCTTGTGTTTTTCCCTCTTCTTCCTCCATGCAGGATTAACTGCAGAGGTTTGTCGCAGGACCTGGGAACAGTCCCTGGTAGGAGATGGCTGTCCTGGCCAGTGCAGTTGGCACCCTTGACATCAGCCACCGAAGGTCTAGGGCAGCGATTTTCAACCCTTTTTCATCTTATGGCACACATAAACTGTCAAAATTCTGTGGCATGCAAACAATAAATTTTTTGCCTATCTGACAAAAAAAAAGGTATAATTTTGACTCATTCACACTAGATGGCTATTGTGGTGTTGGTGGTTGTCTTTTTTTTTTTTTTTAATTTGACAATCTAAGCCTTAGATTGGCTTAGGGAAAAGAGGTCAGTGCCCCTGAATAAATAGTCAGGTATTACACGTTTTAAAAATTCTCGTGGTGCACCAGTTGGAAATCATTGGTCTAGGCCATTACTGACTAAACCCCAGACGGAGACCTCTTCCTCTAATCTTTGCTTGTGAATTTTGTTCCTTGTAATTGCGCTGTCTGCTTGGAAACTTTCACTCACAAGCCTCAGCTTGCCTGAGTCAGTGCCCTCTGGCCATTCTCGAAACCCAAACCCCCAGCACCCTCAGGCTGCTCTGGAGTCGGTGGTCCCAGTCACCTGGTCAGCCCAGTCACCTGCTGCGGACAGAAACCAGAGGGCCCTGTGGCCCTGCCAGGTTGGTGTGGCCCAGGGACAGAAGGGCAGGACTCGGGCCATCTGAGCAAACAGGGAGAAGCCACTTCATTTCATGTGGTGAGGAGAGGCTCCTGCTTGCTGCCTTTGACTTGAGTCATCGGCCAAGAGGCTGAACGCATGGGTTTTAGAAGCATATGCTCACAAAACTGAACACTTTTCCATTTCTGAAATCTAAAATTTATGCATTTTGAACAACAGCCACCTCATACGAGACACAGCTGATTCATGAGTCCTCGTCACGGAGGCCTGGCATCCCGGCCCACCCCAGAGGCTCCACCAGCGAAGCCAGCATTGAGAGAGCCTGGGGCCTTTTAAGAACTGGTCATTTCCTTGCAGGGAGTGGGTATAAGGCAGATGCATGGTAATGGAAAACAAATACAATTTTTTAAAAATACCCCAAAAAAGAGAATTGATCATTTCCGGATGGGTATCCTGAAGAATGTGTTTTACAAAGTGCAAAAGCCACTAAAAAAACTTGAAAGAATGTTTCTTAGGCTAAAAACCCACACAGAAGCCTACACTAATGACTTTACATGTGTGTTCAGCTCAAGAATATATGATTTACCAGGGTCATTGCAGAATAACCCTCCATCCAAGTGAAATTTCCAGGTACTGAAACATATCCCTTTAAAGTTCCAAAAATTCTTTCTAAACGGTTTCCCTGATAAAGGGCCTTCTGAAACATGTGCCACACTTCCCAGTCTCCTAAAACAAGAAGAGTCAACTTTTTTTCTTTTTCCTTTTTTTTGATGATTCAGCCTTCTAATTCTAAACTTCACCTTTCATGACAAGCTAGCTGGGATACATCATATTTGGATCAGATAGATTCAGAGTTCAGTTACTGTTGACTTTTTAAACTTCCCAGGCTTCAGTTTCCTCATCTGCAAAACTGTGACAATGATAATAATTAATTGTTAATGCAGATGCACAATAAATTAGCAACTGTGTTAGTATGTTTTATGTTTGGTCATGGGGAAGTTTGGGACTTTTTCGATCAATACTCTGGCTGTTACTTCCTGTTATGGGTAGCCTATCTCCTGGGGCCTTCTTCTTCTGACCTGTTTTTACTCTGTTATAATAGGTATGGATTTTGCTTCAGGAGGTCTTGCTGTCCATTGCAGCGATTTTCAATTGGTGTGTTGCAAGAGGCACGCTGGTATGCCGCAAGAATTTTTTACACGTGCAATACCTGACTATTTGGTCAGGGGCACTGATCTCTTTCCCTCAGATCGTCAAATTAAAAAAAGGACAACAGCCAACACAACGATTAGCCATCCATTGTGAATGAATCAATATTATACCTATTTTTTGTCAGATAGGCAAAAAAATATAATTTTTGGCATGCCACAGAATTTTGGTAATTAGTTTATATGTGCCATGAGATTAGAAGGTTGAAAACTGCTACTGGGAAGTTTTGGTGCTAAGGTCGAAGTTTTGCCCCAAGCCAGCGCGCTCCCAGGGCCAGCGTACCTGCTTCGCTCCGTCCAGCCAAGCTCTCCACGGAGTCTAAGAGCATCCGTGCATGGAGACCTCGGCATTAGTTGGACTGCTCCTGATCTTTTCTTCTGAAACC